AAACACTGATGAAAGAAATCAAAGAGGACACAAATAGATGGAGAAATATACCATGTACATGGATTGGAAGAATCAATATTGTTAAAATGAGTATACTACCCAAAGCAATCTGTAGATTCAATGCAATCCCTATCAAGCTACCAATGGTATTTTTCACAGAACTAGAACAAATAATTTCACAATTTGTATGGAAATACAAAAAACCTCAAATAGCCAAAGCAATCTTGAGAAAGAAGAATGGAACTGGAGGAATCAACCTGCCTGACTTCAAGCTCTACTACAAAGCCACAGTCATCAAGATAGTATGGTACTGGCACAAAGACAGAAATATAGATCCATGGAACAGAATAGAAAGCCCAGAGATAAATCCATATACCTATAGATACCTTATCTTTGACAAAGGAGGTAAGGATATACAATGGAAAAAAGACAATCTCTTTAACAAGTGGTGCTGGGAAAACTGGTCAACCACCTGTAAAAGAATGAAACTAGAACACTTTCTAACACCATACACAAAAATAAACTCAAAATGGATTAAAGATCTAAATGTAAGACCAGAAACTATAAAACTCCTAGAGGAGAACATAGGCAAAACCCTCTCTGACATAAATCACAGCAGGATCCTGTATGACCCACCTCCCAGAATATTAGAAATAAAAGCAAAAATAAACAAATGGGACCTAATTAAACTTAAAAGCTTTTGCATGGCTGTGCTCTTAAACACAGTTCTTGGGCTGAGCTCCGGATCACGTATTACTAAAAACATATCCGCCATGTCCTCTGTGTGTGTGTACGTCTGGGGCAGTGTCACTGACGTCCTCCATTCAGCCTGCAGTGTGTTAGCTCTCAGAGGAGACGCAGAGTGTTCAGGAGAGCACACGGCCCCAGGAGATGCCAGACATGGGTGTCCCTCCTGCCCCACGGATGATGGGGCAGTAAGTCCAAGGCTGTGGTGACCATGCCTGTGTGTGGGCGTCTGTGTGTGTGTACTGTGCTTGAGAGTGTGTTGTGGGGGTGCTGTGCACAGTGTGTTTGTGTGTGTATATGTTTGTATGTATAAGTGTGTGTTGTGTTGGTGTGTATCTGTGTGTTATGTGTGTTTATTCGTGTATAGATGAGTATATGTGTGTTACATTTGTATGTGTTTTATGTATATTTATATGTGTGTGTGTGTTTGTGTGTGTGAGTGGTGTGTTGTGTATGTGTATCTTTGTATGTTTGTGTTGTGAATATACGTGTGTGAGTGGTCTCTGTGTCTTATGTTTGTGTTTGTGTGCTGTGTATGTATTTTCATATGTTTGTGAGTAAATGTGTGTTCATGTGTGTTGTATGTGTGTGCTATGTTTGTACTTTTGTACGTGTATGTGTGTAAGTAGTGAATGTGTTGTGTTTGTGTGTATATTTTGTTTGTATGTTTGTGAGTGTGTGTGTGAGTAGTGTATGTGTTGTGTTTGCGTGTATATTTTGTTTGTATATTTGTGAGTGTGTGTGTGAGTAATGTATGAGTTGTGATTGTGTGTATATTTTGTATGTTTCTGAGTGTGTGTGAGTTGTGTACATGTTGTGTTTGTGTCTATATTTTGTTTGTATGTTTGCATGTTTGTGAGTGTGTGTGTGTGTGAGTGTATGTGTGAGAGTGTCTGTGAGTGCCCCTGTTTCAGGAGCAATGGGAGGAGCCAGGGGAGTCAGGGGGACCTTGCAGCCTTTGGGCTCTGCCTGGAGCTCCCTGCTTACCCTCGGGCAGGACGCTCTGAGTCTCACTTTTCTCCTGGGAAACCTCACAAGGTGACAGATCTGCTCCATGTTGAGACAAACACTGTGGCGCATGGCACACGTGACAGTGATGCCCTGTCGGGCAGGGTCTGGGGTGAGGTGGCCAGGGACTGGGCAGTCAGTTCTCTGGGCCTGAGAGTGGGTGACAGGAGTTCCTGGTGGGAGACAGTGCCTTCCTTGGCAAAGAGGACTGGGAATTGCTCTAGAAAATGTAGTAAAATGTCCTGGAATCTTCCAGGGGGACAAGATCTCAGGAATGTGTAGTTTGAACTCAGCATCCACATCTCTGGGGACACGGAGGCCCCAGCAGCATGACCACTTGAGTCGGTGGCCTGGATCTGAGCGCCGAATACCCGGGCTCCCGGCAGGACTGGACCCCATGTGGAGAGGGAGCCTGTGCATGTCTCCTGCCCACCTCACCCCCCAGCGCCCAACCTCTGCAGCCCCCACTGCCAGGCTCCCCCCACAGATCGTTCTGGGCCCATGAGCCCCTCACCAGCCCCTCCAGCAATGTCCTGCTCACATCCACCCAGCACCCTGGCCACTGCTCCCAGGACAGTGTCTGTCAGGACGTGTCTCTGGTCATTTCTGCCCATCACAGAATCCCCCCTCCCAAGTGGAGACCACTTGCAGGGGAAGGAAGGGGGAAACAGCATCCCTAAAGGAGGTAGCGGGTGTCTCAAACGCCCCCTCACCGCGTCCCATGCCAACAAACTGATGCAAACAGCTTCCATGAATTAGAGAAAGGCAGAAGTCAGGAGCCCCTGAAAGCTCAGAGGAAACATCAGTAGACACATTATGGTTTCTTTCTAGATGGAGGAAGAAGAATTCGAAATCCTTCTCCCGGAGGAACCTGAAGAAGGTGCATCCCAGGATCCTTCTCCAGGTGGGTCTGGAGGTAAAACAACTTTCTAGCAGACATGGACTTGAGAGAGGCGGGGCCAGGGCCTGAGGGGAAGGAGGTGTACTGGGAGGGGCAGCGGGAGTCCCCCCCCCCCCCCCCGTCAGAGATTCGCCCACTGGGGTGGCCATCACAGGGTGTTTGGGTTGGCCCTCCCTTCACCCCAGCCAGACAGAAGGGAAGGGCCCCTGATGGTGCCGTGGGTCAAAGCGGGCGACAGACCACAGCCACTGCCCCTTCACTGAGTGGCAGGAAGGATGTGTTTGTGGGTGTGACAGACCGCTCGCCCCTGGCCCCTGGTGGGTGTCGCCCTGGCTCTGCTGTGAGACTCTCAGGACCACGGGGGCTGCAAAGCGCTAGTGAAGACATAGGATGCAGTCAAAGGCCTGCAGGTCTGGGCTCTGCCTTCCCAGGGGGCTCCCTCCCCCCAACAGCTGTTTCATCAGGGTCAGGGGCTTCGCTTTCATGGGCTCAACTTTCCATCTAACCTGGGGAGACAGAACTTAGGAATTTAGGAATGCTGGAAATCCATCACTTTCCTGGAAAAGGAATTGATTTGCAATTTATTATGCATTTCCACACAACTATGTTTTATTAGATGAACTTCAGTGGCCTGAACCATTGGGAGAAACCCATAATATTAAACTGCATAGGAAAGTGATAATCCCAGTGTTCACACCTGATTTACCTTTTTTGCAGCAATCGGGGTTAAGTATTACTTTAAAATTTCATTTCTGTGCTCAATGTATTTGGCTTTTAAGTCCAAAGGCATGGCATGAGTGTCTCCAGGCTTGCCCAGACGGGAGACCACTGTCTTCCTCTAGCTATGCATCTGAGAGTACAGACGGACATTGCCCTTCCCTGCTTCTGTGGAACTTCCAGTCATTCACACAGGTCACCTGCAGAAGCTAGAAGGAGCCCATATCTTCCAGTCAGAGTTGGTGGGTGGGTCAGTCCACCAAGGCAGAAAGGCAGGAGAAACACAGCCCTGCTGGGGAGAGATGGAAGAAGATGGTGTCAGTCCTGGCCTCAAGAGGCTGAGGGCTCTGCACTGAGACAAACCAATGTCTTCCCTGGGAACAGGCTGGAAATCAGCTAGGGTTTGGTGCTTCTCTATGTGCTTTGGGTCCTGGGACTTGCAAGGCCAGGAGAAGGGAATTCCCTTTGTGCCCTCCAGCCATAGTCATTTCTAAAATCTGGAGGTGAGGTCCTCAGTATTAGATGGGCATGAAACATCTACTCACAGCTGATGGTTCTGATATTCTCCTGGGTGAGGGTGTCCAGCCCAAACTTCAACGGTGGAGCTTAGGACTGGGACCCAGTGTGAGCTGTGCTGTGGAGCTGGGGGTCTGGCTGAAAGGACCCCACCCTCACAACACTCCTTGTTGGGCAAAGTGAAGGTAATGTGGCGTGTTCGATCACGGGAGGGAGAGGACAGACAGAGGCCGTGTGCTTCCAGCTTCACTCTCTTCCTGGGAAGGTCTCCAACCAGAGGGGCTCGAGGAAGCTCAGGCTCCCAGTTCATGAGGGGATGATCCCACCTGGTGGGAATAGGTAGCCCTTCAAAATAGAAGCATAAAATGTGGTGTTCTGCCATATGATCCTGCAAGTCCACTTCTGGGGAAAATACCCTATAGAGTTAAAACAGATAGTGAATATATGTGCTCTGAGGTGGATAGCAGCATTATTCACAATAGCAAAAAGTGGAAACAACCCCCCAACTCCATATATATATGAATAAACACAATGTGGTCTACACCTACAGTGGAATATTATTCAGCCTTAAAAAGGAAGGCAATCTGACACTTGCTCCAAAGTGAATGAACCTTGAACACAAAGTCAATAAGCCAGACACAGTAGGGCAAAACTTGCCTGATTCCAGTAATGTGTGGTCCTTAGAACAGTCAAACACATGGAGACAGAAAGAGCAGTGGATGTCATGTGTTGGGGGAGGAAGGATGGGGAGTTAGTGTTTAATGGGGACAGGGTGTCATTCAGGAAGATGGAAAGTTCTTGAGATGCCCAAGTGATGACTGCCCATCAATGTGAATGTACGGAAGGCTACACCTAAACATGGTTCCAACAGTACATTTTATATTATGTGTTTTGTACCTTATTTTTCCCAAAAATATTCAGAAAAGAGAAAAGGAAGGAAAGCATGTGAACCTAGGGCATATCTCAGATGCAGACGCTGGTCTTCCTTTGTCTTGCCCCCACCCGGACCATCTGCCCCCAGGGGAGGCTAAAGCGGGGGTCGGGCTCTAACCGCGGCCCCCCACCTTCTCTTGATGCTTCCAGGGCAGCGCGGGGATGAAGGACCCTGCAGAGGCTGAGGTTCATCCTGGTGGGAAAATCCGGGAGCGGGAAAAGCGCCACGGGAAACAGCATCCTCGGGAGGAGAGTGTTCGAGTCCAAGCTCAGCGCTCGCCCGGTGACCCAGGCCTTCCAGCAGGGGCGCCTCGCGTGGGCAGGGAGGGAGCTGAAGGTCGTAGACACCCTGGACATCCTGTCCCGCTGGGCGGCGCCGCGGGGGACCCCTCAGGGCGTTGGCGAGGCCAGCGCCCGCTCCCTGCCGGAGCCGCACGCCGTGCTCCTGGTGACACAGCTCGGCCGGTTCACCGAGGAGGACCAGCAGGTGCCCAGGCGCCTCGAGGAGGTGTTGCCCCGCACCGTCCTGGTGTTCACGCGGAACGAAGACCTGGACGGCGGCTTGCTGGGGACATTCCTGCGGGAGACCGACAACCGAGTGCTGGCCGAGCTGGACGCAGTCTGCGCGCAGCGACACTGTGGCTTCAACAACAAGGGGGACGGAGCCGAGCTGGAGGCCCAGCTGAGGGAGCTCATGGGGCACATCGAAGGGGTCCTGTGGGAGCACGAGGGCCGCGCCTACAGCCTCCCGGCTGCCCCTCACCCCCGCGCCGCGCCCCGTGAGAGCTGGGGCCTCTGGCCGCCCGTTTCCGAGGAGGGGCGCGGGGACCAGGCCTGGCTGCGGGGCCTGCGCCGCATCCTGAAGGAGCCCGAGCAAGCTGGAGGCCAGCTCCCGCCGAGCGCGCCCATCTGAGGCACACGCCTCCGCGGCTTCCTGCCTCCGGCTCCCAGACCCCTCCCTTGCTCGCTCCATCCCAGGAGTCCCTGGCCCTTCCTGACTCCAGGGCACCATCTGTTTAGGCGGGAGGAGGTGGGTGGGCTCCTGAGTTCTCTGGTCCTTCATCACACCGTCCAGAACACAGGGGCCCTCCTGCTCTGCGCCCCCCGCCCATCCTCACGTGTCTCTGGCGTTCCCTCTCTGCAACAGACCTCTGAGAGAAGCCAAGCCTCCTGAGGCGGGCCTGTGCTCCCTTCTGAGGTGGAAGCCCTGCAGCATCCCGGCCACTGGAGGCTCGGCTTATAACTCGATGCAGATCAGCGTGGAATGTGGACCGGGCAACTCTGCGTCTCTTGGGCTGTGTCCTTGCCCGTTAAGAGGGCAGGCACGATGGCTTTTAGGGCCCAGCGCCATGTGGGGCAGGACAGGCTCTGGGCTGGGGAGGAGAAGGCAACTAGAAACGGGGGAGGGCCGCAAGGAGCTGCTCTTGATTCGCTCTTGAGAGAGGCCACCACCCGCAGCAAGGGAGCCCCATGGGAAGGAGCGGGGCAGGGCAGGGGTGTCCAGGGGCCAGGTCTGCTCAGGAAACGGGCCTAGACCTGGCTGCAGGACACGGACCGCCCGGAGGTCCAAGCGGACTTGGGCAGCGGAGGAGCTCTTCCCAGGGAGGCCTGGACAAGGGAGGTCACACACCTGGCATCGCCCCTCTGATGCCCACCCTCCCGCATGGAGAGCAGAGAGGAGACTTCCAGTCCCGTCTCTGCCTGACCTGCAACCAGTCCCTTCTCCCCTGAGAGAGGGGAGAAAGCGAGCAGCGTCTGGGCGTGTATGCGGGTTCCCCAGCCAGGTGTTTGGGGGTGTAGAATGGAGGGAGGAAGGAAGAAAGGGAAGCTGCAAAGAAAGAAGTAGGAGACCAGGTGAACGTCCTCGGGAGCAGCCTGCGGGCCTGGGAGAGTCCTGCAACTTGGGGTGTCATCTCGTCCTCACCCAGAGGACCCTGAGAAAGCTGGAGCAGGTCTTTAGCTACAAGGGTCTCGAGTCAGAACAGAGACACATCGGAGTATGCCTAAGATAGCCTTTGTGCCAGACTATTTACTAAGTAGGTGATCCATCTCCTGCTGAACTGAAACATAGCAGTTATCATATGTTAAATTTTCATATTCTGTATGGTTTCTGTGAGAATTTTTGCCTCTTCTTGTCTTCCATCTTCTCAACGCCTATATGAATAAAGTATTGACTTGATTTTTGTGGCTTTGATTGTAATGTGAACTCTCCCCCCCACTCCCGATTTCCTCCCCAGTCACCATTTTGTATTTCTTTTGTTATTTTCAGGCATTTATTCTTCTGTGTGAAAATTAAAATTACTTGTTGAGTTTTCTAAAAAGAACATTGTTGTTATTCCAGTTGGAATTGTCTTATGTCTATGTATTGAATTTGGGAGAATTGGAAGCAAGATAAGTCAGACAGAGAAGGACAAGTACTGTGTAATATGTGGAATCTAAAAAGTCAAACCTGTTTAAAAAAGGAAGAGAATGGTGGTTACTAAGAAGTAGGGGCACAGGGGATAAGATTAATGGTGTTCCAGTGTGCAAACTTGTCATAAGCACTAAAAAGCCATAGAGGTCTAAAGTACAGTATATTGAATGTAGGCAATAATATTGTAGTATAAGTGTGTGATGTGCTAAAGATTGTTAAAATGGCAACCAAACTATGATACACCAGTCTACCCAAGTAACACTCAGCACACCTTAAATTTACACAATGTGAAAAGAACAAAATTAAAATCACATTTAAAATCTGAAACATAAAAAAAAGTAGGAGAATCTGTAATTCTTCAAGGATAAGTGAAATAAGATGTTTCTAAGTGAATAGACCCATTACTTTATAGCCGCTGATTTAACAGCTAAATCATTCACATTTCCTTTAAGATAATAAGATAAATATCTTTAACTTAGGTACTTTTGTTTTAACCCTGTTGGCTTAATTGATCTCATCCTAGAAAATACAAGTATTGACCAAATGACAAGCACTGTCACTCACAAAGGTGAAATGGCAAGTCACTCAAAACATGTCATTCATTAAAAATTCTAAAGGAATTGCTTAAAATTACATGGAATATGGGGTTCTCTCTCCTTTGTTACTAAAAGTCAAGGAAAATCCCTCCCACAACATTTCAGAAGGAGGGGGAGTTGTTGCTTCACACCATCACTCCCTGAGCATCAGAGAACAGGGTAGGCATTGTTGGTTTATTCTGGAAATCCCATGGTCTGTGTACCAGAAAGAAAGAGGTGCTGTGGATGACGTCATGGGTAGGGGAAGGAGAGGGGGTTGTTTTGGCCAAAGTTGTGAAAATAGTGACCTTGGGAATTCATTATTCTTTAAAAAAATCCCTACACTGGAGCAAAGCATGAAAGAGAGAGATCTGGAGAATCCAATGTGATCAGTGAGTCCGTGGGCTGCTTCCTCCTTGGTGAGTCACAGCAGTGGCTAAAAATCTCAGGGAAGTTTTCCAGCTCTGAATTCTCCTGTAATAACTTTCATACACTCTGTAGAAAATTAAAAATCATGAGAGTTTTTAAACAAATGTTGGAAGACACTGCAAGGTGACCGAGGACAAGGAGAGGCTGTAGGGAACCTGACGCCTCACTCAGGACCATGTGGCTGTCACATGTACGTGGTTCCCCCGAGCACACGTCCCCATCCTGCTGATCCAGGGAGGTCGCTCAAGCAGAAATTCACAGGGACCTGAGTGTAAGAGGATGGAGTTTGGGGGCCGCCAGAGAGGGTAGATGTTGATGGAGAACTCCCAGAGGGGCATGGGTGGGAGCATGAGAAATTCTGCATAAAAACGCCCTTCAAGTCTTTGGATGAACCAGGAATTATGGTCTCTACAGGGTCCAATCACGATGGTGTGATCACTCACCTAGAGCCAGACATCCTGGAATGTGAAGTCAAGTGAGCCTTAGGAAGCATCACTACAAGCAAAGCTAGTGGAGGTGATGGAATTCCAGTTGAGCGATTTCAAATCCTGGAAGATGATGCTGTGAAAGTGCTGCACTCAATATGCCAGCAAATTTGGAAAACTCAGCAGTGGCCACAGGACTGGAAAAGGTCAGTTTTCATTCCAATCCCAAAGAAAGGTAATGCCAAAGAATGCTCAAACTACCGCACAATTGCACTCATCTCACACGCTAGTAAAGTAATGCTCGAAATTCTCCAAGCCAGGCTTCAGTAATACATGAATCGTGAACTTCCAGATGTTCAAGCTGATTTTAGAAAAGGCAGAGGAACAAGAGATCAAATTGTCAACATTCGCTGGATAATTAAAAAAGCCAGAGAGTTCCAGAATGAGGTCTCTCTAGAGTGAGAAGTGTATGGCAAATCCACGCCAGCTCCTATGGCATGTGCTGCTAGTCATTAGCTCACTAGCATTTGTCCCCTCCTCATTACTAACAAAACTACAATTTTGCTTGTCACAGCAACAGAAAATTCAGTAAAATACTGAGTTGTACTGTGTTTCTTGTAGCTGGGGTGACCATATGGCAAAGAGGTGGTAGAAGAAGCCCTGTGGGTTGGCTTTGCTTTTGCAATAGAAGTGCCATCCTGTCTTCCTTCTTGTGTCTGTGTTCTTTCTGCCTGCAGTTCTGACATGAGGCTGAAGCTGAAGCAGCCATCTTGCCGTTCTGAGGAGAGAAGTTACCAGAAACGGTGGGAAGAAAAAATCAAGTTCTTAGGATAGTTACATCAGCCCTGGAGTACCAGCCAGTAAACTCCTTGTATCAAAACTGAACCCTTTGTTAAGCTACTTTGGTGAAGCTGTATTTCCTGCAGCCACATGAAATATCACCCTCTAGCTGATATTCCAGGGCTGAATGAGAGCCACTGCCTGACAAGCCACAGAGAACGTAGACCATTTGGAGCTGTGGTCAAGTCAGTTGAGGAGCCCCTGAAAGGGCACTGCCTGGAGTGAGAAATCAACTCACTGGGTGCCTTTACACCAGCTTGTGGGCTTTCTTGTTGGGGACCATCAGGCTTTCAGAGGCTTGACAGACATGAGACATCACCCAGCAAGTAGGGGAGACAGAGGCTGAGGTGGAGACCCCATACGTACGTGCACGTGTGTGTGCTCAGGTATGTCCGATCTTTGTGACTCTATGGACTGTAGCCCTCCATCCATGGTGTTTTCCAGGCAAGAATACTGAAGTGGGTTTCCATTTCCTTCTCCAGGGGATCTTCCCAACCCAGGGATCGAATCTGTATCTCCTGCATTGACAGGCAGTTTCTTTACAACCGGCACCACCTGGGAAGCCTGGAGAACTCCATCTTTCTTCACAAACCAGTGTCAAGTAAGGCATCTAAAGTCCATGGGAGGAAATAAATAAAATGGTTGCAGAAAGTGTCTGAGTCATCTACATGGAAACTAAACACTATCTAAAGGTGCTCTTCCCCCACCCCCAAGTCTTTACTGAACTTGTTATAGTATTGTTTCTGTTTTATGTTTTGGTTTTTTGGCTGCAAGTCATGTAGGATCTTTAGCTCCCCTGCCAGGGATCAAACCCCAACCACCTGCATTAAGACGTTGCTTTTAACCACTGGACCACCAGGGAAGTCCCTAAAGGGGCTCTTTAACACATCAGATTGGACTGGTTTTTACATGAGAGCAGACATTTAATTTTGTGCTTTCTCTGGAAATAATGGATAAGACCTAGGAAAGATTATGAAATTTTAGACAATGTAAACATATACCTTTTCTTTCTATTCCCTAAACGTAGTATATGTTTAATTTTGCCACAGAGGCTGTTTCCTGTGGATTCGAAATTGTTTCTCAGGGAGTGACTCACTTATAGTCTCAGAGGACTCGTTTCCATACACTTGTTCAAAACGTTAGGTCTGTAAAGGTAACTATTACCTCAAGAGGAATTAAAGCTAAACAACATCTTCTTATCTCATTATCTTTTCTCACAAATCTTATATCA